AAAAACCACCATCGTCGAAAAATGCTGACATAGCTTATATCACTGTAATGACTTACTAACCAGTACTTGAAAGACGGAATTTTTATCCTTCAGAAAACGTGACAAGCAAGGAACCGTAGGCCATTGTGCGGGCGTATAAAGTTCTATGGCTCTGTTTGGTCGATGAGGTTGATACGCATTCGTACAACACCCTGTGGAGGGGGTGGCTAAATTTTGTGAATACTTTAAATGTAAACTTGTTACACCGGGGTCAACATGGTTGGATACAATAAAGCTAGCAAGTTCCGGCCTTGAAATGCTACTACCCTGGGATAGATATTTTATTGACCAGATAATTACCTTGAGGTACTTACTCGGGAGACGAGGAAAGAACATAGGGGAGCAATAGGAGGTCCAGTAGGATACCACAAATGCAGTAATGAAACGCTGGATCAACTAACGGCGTATTGTAGACCTGAGACGTGTAACATAATGACAGTCCCATAATTTTAATGAATGTTTTGTTCACATGAAGGGACCACGTAAGTCAGTGTCTTTCCCAGGTATTTTACTATAGCAGAAGAAGCTAAAGATTCACTGCAAAGTTGCGGACACTGCGTTAGGATTTGCTGGTAGCGGTTTCCTTTGAACAACGCAAAAAGGACATCGTCGCATTTTATGATGTTCAGCAGTGAGCAAGGGGATTGGAACCAATTTGTTAGATTGTTGTAGTTCGGCGGACGACTTTAGATCTGAATGATAGACGCCAAGGATTACGTCACCCGCAGACGTCAGTAAGATGGCTTCGTCAAGGACGGGAGTTGAGGAAACTTAAGTGGAAAATAGGAATGGAAACAAAATGGTTATCTGAAGAACACCAGAATTCGTGGTGAGTGAAGAAGAGGTTTTCCGCCAAAAACCTGGCAAACTGGATACACCTTTTAAAATAATCTTTCGACAGAAGAACAACCGAAGTTTGAACTGCAGAACCTAAGAGAGCAATGGAACAATGATTTTGTACGAGCAAAATAGTCTAAGGATTAACAGGTCCCGTAGGCTAGTCATGATAAACATGGAAAAATATGGAAAATTGTCAGCGTAAGTGTGTTCACAACAATGGACTCGCCCAAGTATAGTTATCAAAAACAGCAAATCGACTGTACGTCGATAAGTATTGACGACAAATGAATGTTACTGAACATTGTGCCGTCTCCTTGTGAACAGATAGGGGTGAAAAAGGTGGAACGTATTGTGGGAGTTGATCGGCAGTGAAATCTCTAACAGACACCCGTGTTTAGGCGTGAGTAATGAATCATATGAGATACTGAAGCGAAAAGAGTACGCGATCAACTCGGGCTGTGAACTCTACCGGCGTGGGAGCATAGATGACAGATTCCGATAGGGCATTCCACACTTTGAAAACGCGCACAGTAAAGAAACTCTGACGGCATTCCAAACAACTGTACTGCCCTGCCACCTTGAGATGGTGGTCTCTCAAAGTAATTTTGTGGCTGAGCAAATAGCGCCATATGTGGCTGGGAGTTTCCAAAATCCGGTAATTCAAAATGTGGTCTCCTCGTAATCGCCGATATTGTCTGATGAAGACCTCGAATACTCGGGTTCACACAACCGAAACCGTTACTAGAGTCCGGGAAGCGGATGGGGATGAATTTGCTTGTATCATCCAGCCCGGAAGCACGGAATGTACCAGATATGTTACTGCATCTAAGGTGGACCTTGAGCTGCGGTATGCAGACTGATGAGCGTCGTCCAAATGCGGCTGGACTGAAGTTATTCTAAGAATAATCCTTCAAAGCACTGGACGTGAAGGCGATTGGTCGATATTTGCAACTTCCTTTCTTTGGCACCGGTGTGATGCTTGCAGTTCGCCAATAACCAGTTAGCTTGTGCTGCTTGAAGCACAATTTGTATAAACCGGTGATAGGCTGTGCCAGGTAATCTGCACCAATTTGAGAACGAAGGGAAAAAACTTAGCTGGCCCAGGCGCTTTGTTCAATTGCAACCAGATTAATTCCCTGTGCACTACTTCCTTACTGTTCACGGTTGAGATATTTGAGAGTAGTTGTAACTCAGCGGATGATGTAACAAAGAGTGATTATCCTGGTCACAAAAATTGAAGTTTAGTTCTTCTAAATGCGGAGTTCTATGCGTGACATCGAGGGCGACTTCACCTAATTGCTTCAACAATCTCCATATTTCTCGATAAGTTGTTTGAGCATAGATATGGTTGATGCGACCTAATTTGATTTTCATGTCAATAGATAGAGACTTTACCGATGAAAAATGCTTGCGTTTAAAAACCTTTTTAAGCTGAGTCATTTGAAACGTTGAGAGCAAAATCCATTAACAAAGATAAAAAAAGCTTCAATTGGACAGCGAGTGTCAGGGCAGAAGTTTAAGCAACTAGTTAACTGGTCACAATACTTCGATACGTCCACATCATAAAATAAGCTAAAATCAGTGGAGGCAATGGTTTCACGAAGTCATTGAATGTTGTGGAGAAAACATTGTCTCCGCTTAAAGTTTCGATCTTTGCAACGGGTGCTATCCTTATGGTTCATTTTGCCATACATAACAAGAGATACCTTTACGATGGCATGAGCAGAGCTCTCAAGTGGCGCCTCATAACAAACAGAAAGCATTTTCAGGCTGTTAGCAAACACCATGCAAATGATTGCATCTAACCTGGTTGGAGATTGAACGATGTTATTGAACCTAACATTCGCAATGAATCTGGTGTCTGAACTATTAAAATTGCCGGCAACTATGCCCAAGAAGAGTTGCAGGTGATCGAGGACCCCACGTGTGAATCGATTTCGGGGATAAAACAGCTAGAAGAAATATAGGTATTGATCAATGAATAATTGGATAACTGTTCAGAAGCTTTTTGGTTTGCGAACTGTGGTGGAAAATGCGTTTAATAGACGCGTCACATAAAATATTAATTTGAAAGACAATACCACCACCGCGGTTCCTGTGTAAATTGGAGACCAACAGTGTAAGTACTAAATACGTCGAGTTACACGATTGCGTCTTCACCAACGACGTGATGCCAGGTTTCCTGCAACATAATGGTGCCAAAGCGAGAATATTCGCTATATTTTATCCCACATTTGAAGTCTGATTTTTCAATTAGCGATCGGATACTGGCACCGTTTAAAACAGGTGGGTTCACTGTCCCGATATTTTTCATCCGAAGTGCAATCCACCATCCTGCACGGTTTTTTTTGTAAAAGTTCTTTGCTTCCTTTACATTGTTTCGAATAGCTGGACTACGGAAAAGTGTTGCATTCATATGTGTGAACACATCTAACAAGTTCAAAGGATCGCGAGTGTAAACAATCATGCTTCTGAATGCAGAACAAAATACCGGGAAGATAAAACGAAAAGGCTCGATGTAGTGTGAAAAAGCGTGTTAGTAAATCCTTCGGATAAGAATTAAAGAGCACCGCCAAATTTGAAGGCCCCGCGGCCTTATATAACAGAACGGGAAAATGCAGCAAAACCGAAAGTCCTTTGAAAATTACGGGCGCGGTATTTGATGACCAGTTTTTGAACGGCATTCAATAGCTGAGAAATCGGGACCTCCTGGGCGCCGAAGGTGGTGGAGGCAATGGTAGACGCGAGAGGGTATAGTAAAAGGTCGGTTATTTGAGTTGACAATTATGTAGGTTGAGCAGTTCTTTGGGTTTAGTAGAAATAACGCGTTGGTTTGATATAAAAATGGAAAAAAGTGAGGTACAATAAGACAATGACGGAGCAGAGGTTAATAGCTCGATAAGACACATAGAAAGCGGAAACGGAGTTAACTCCACGCCCGTGTCGTGTGCAGAAAAGTAGCTGATTACTAATGACACCAATCGCCAGATTACTGATGAGTAGTGGGGATGTTGGCATAATTTCAGAGGTACGTCGTCGTGGCCTTCGACACCACCAAACAGCTGTTTCGAGCTTCTGGGTCTCGCCAGTAGTGTGTCTTCCTCGGGCCCCTGCCAGGTCCCGCCCTCATGGATCCGAATGTCAGCAGCTTGTGCCATTAATCCATGGGACTGCGACGAAATATCTCTGAAATTATACAAAAATCCTCCTTATTCAATGATAAGCCTAAATCCGTCCGTATAACTTCTAAGTGCTGTGTCATACACAATCGCTATGCCGAAATTCCTAGTTCCGTGGGGCCAAGCACTGTCCCCTACACAGTTCGTAACTAACATGACAGTGAAGGATGAGCCGAGCTGTATCGTAATCAACTGTCAGGCAATCAGATCGGCGGCCATCATCCATGGGTTAGTGGCACAAGCTGCTGGCGTCCGTCCGGAAGTCAGGGGGTCGGAACCCGGCAGGAGTCCGAGGGAGGCGCACCACTGACGAGACCCAGAAGGTCAAAACAGCTGTCTAATGCTTTTCCAGATGTGTATAACCCTGCTGACCGACGGGACTGCGACGGAATACTTCTGAAACAATATCCAGAGGCCCAATCAGGTATATCATAAACACCGCTGTGTGCACTGCGCCTCAAGGTGCACCAATCATAGAACTAAAAGATTCGGTCAATGACGAGAAACTTGTCAACAAGTTCATGCATAAGCTGTTTGAGTAGCTTTAGGCCGGCTCGTCGATGACGTGAATGTAAAGCGGCCATTCCTTACATAGTCGAGCTGTTCCACGAAAAGCGCGGGGTGATTACAGCCTGATCCCTAAGTAACGTGTGACTGACACAAATGACGATCATTTGAAGTAGGGGCCACATAAACCAGTAAATTAGAAGTTGGAAAACGTTTAGCACGAAGTACGGTCGCACAAAACGTTGTGAATTCTCAGTTGATTCGAAAAGTGAGATTGCAAGTCTAACTAAGTGTTTTGATCATCGTTTCTTGCTGACGTAGTGCACTGCGTGGCAAGTTTACATACAATATAAAAAAATTTGACTTATTTTCAACGTAAGTAGAGTACCTGAGACCAAAAGTATCAGTAGGTAAAACAGGACATTAGCAACTCACCTTGAACCACTGAGTAGCCGCAGTCCAAAACCACAGCGCCAGGCTTGATCCAGGCACCTCTTATGAGCCCAGGTGAACCGGTTGCAGACACGACCAAGTCGGCGCGAGACACCTCATCAGGTAAATTACGGGAGTAGATATGACACAGAGTAACTGTAGCGCCGCCTAGTCCGGACAACAAATCGGCTGTCGGAGCGCCAACAAGTCGCCCCCGTCCAACCACCACACAATGAGTTCCTTTAAGCGGGAAATTGATGGAGCGAACAAGGGCGAGACAAGCAGCAGCGGTGCATGGGATATGTAGACGAATGGATCGGGAAGATAAAAGGGAAATTTCCCGGCTAACTAGTGCAGTATTCACAGCTCCTAGCCTGATGCAAGAGCGGACAAGGTATGAAGAAGAAGAAGAAGGCAGAGAACAGATTTAGCTGATGGCTCACATTTGGCTGAAATCGGAGGGGTGAATTTGTGGCTGAACACAAGCGGCATGGGAAAGAAGTTGAATGTTCAGTGACTACTAAAAGCGGAATCTGACTGCTGTGTGGCAGTGTATGAAAAGGCTTTAATGACATAAATGATGACGACTACGAAATCTCTTTAAGTGACACATAAAAGTCGACATGGAGGATAGAAAACGTTAACCGAGTAAACCTTAGATCCATTGAATTTTATGGGTGTTCCATAGAGCGAAGTATGCTCCTCATGCCGATGAATGAAGCGATCCAGTGGAGAGCGGTAGCTGCTTCGAAGCTGTTTGGACGCAAGAACAGCATAATATATACTAATGGGGTTGGTTTTGTGTTTGAAAATCAACACGGTTACGATGTGAATGCCTCCCAATAAACTTGGAGTGTGAAGCTGTGATAGCATATTAGTGTTGAATAGAGGTGAAGCAACATAAATGATGTGTGAGTCAGGCGACCAGCTGTAGACTGATGGCTAGATGCGAGTATGCAATATGTGAGGATACAATGGGCACCTTAACTTACCAGACAAAAAGAACTGATTACAAACGTCGTCAGTAAGTCCATTATAACAGTAAACACGGAGTGCTGTGCGGAAGCAGCAAGAAGAAATATTTCTGTGTGCCTGTCTGTAAAACTCCTCAGACACATGACCTATTATGTTTGAGAGTATTCTCGTTGTTCTGGAAACAATCAGCGCTCCACTCATTCTAAGCCGAACCAATTCTGCATTGTCCATCAAGCTTATGCAAATGTGATGAGCTCGCGTGGAGGCGACAGATTGGATTACTAGACAATGGTCTTGACCTAGCAGCTATTACAGACAAACCTGCTAAGGCGACCACTCAAGGGACCGATGAAAAGGGGTCGTCTTGAAGAGCTGGTCACCATAGATAGGTTCATGCTAGGGGCATCACTGATAAGATAAAAAGTTAGGTATCTTTTCGGCTGGTCGGCATAGGCAGGTGGTCGCCAGGGCAGATTGGACTGTACTACATGGTCCACGGAACATATCCTGCAGCTGACTCGAGAAATCACAGATGATGACGACAATGGGTGTGCATTTGAATCGTCGTGGCCACGATTAGCAGTGGGACAGAAAAGATCGCTGAGGTTATCATACAGTGTCATACACATGCTAAAATAAAAGATGATAAATAGAAGACTTTGTAAGCAAAAGACAGCAATAACGTACCCCTCAACATCCTTTTCTGTGGAAATGGTGTGCAGCGGATAAACGACATCGAAATCGTGATCCGAGTCGAGAGGAAGCTGCAAACAGCGGAAAACAGAACTCGTTGTCAATGCGCATCAACAACAGCAATATAGCTGTACATGTCGCAGGCTCGCCACATTGACACAACGAAGGACAAAAAGTGACGAGCCATACTGCAAAACAAACAAAAGGATAATGCAGGCGGAAATATGCTAAGCTAAAACGTAGCAAGCAAACAACCCGATGCATTAAAAACATGGCAGTACCAAGAAGAAGACGGCTATACACCGTATCGTGTGACAGGGATGTGTTTGCCGATTGTCATGGACGCACCGTAAATTGCCGCACATCGCGCACTCTAAGAAAACCCCGAGGAATTCTAACAGCAGTCCGGAGATCCAATCGGACCTCACCCAATGCACTACGCACACAAGTGCGGCGTCTGCGTACCCCAATTTGCACAGCGTTTCACGCGATGAGGAGCAGACTAGGGATACTCGACTGATTGATACATTCTGACCAGTGTTTGAGGACAGAATGTTTCGCGGAAAACTGGATACCTTTTGGTTCTGTACTGACGGATGTTGAGCCGTAGCACTGAAGTTACCGTTACGTACAGGGTCTACTGTGGTATAAAAATTGGACAACGCGTTGGCGGACGAACGCACACGTGATGCACAACTGCTGCTATTTCATCTCAGCTATGTCCCCATTAAAGTAGACAAACTGACGTACACGTAAGAAATAAGGTTTCGATGCGCCCGTATTTGTATCTAAGGTAATGTTAAAACACAGTTACCGTGGGCACGCCGGTAGACTGAAAACTAGCTTCCAAAGAAGCATTGTAGGCAAAAAGCATCACTTTCAACTAGACTTTCCACATTACGAATAATAAGAACTTGGTAGTATTTTGCTTTCCTGTTAAGTGAGCCAAGTTCTACCTGGAATTCCTCTTTCCTAAATAACCTACGATACTTAAAGATTACTCGGATGTTCCGGTTCAGTTGAGTGCAGTTGATAAATCATGAGCCGGGCACCAAAGTGCAGTGGATGCAGTTGCCACGAATTGCGTCGCTCGAGTGGCAAAATGACGAATGATAAGTAAATGCGGTTATGGTATTAGCAGAATGGAAGCAAGGACGAGGTGCATTGAAGTATGAACAGCTACACGCAAGAGAACGAATCCAGAGGAAGCCCTGACTCCGACAATGCGCCACGTCCGATAGAGTCTCTAACCATTGGTTTGGACGAGCAAGAGTCCCCCATCTACGAAGACGGCACTTACCTGCTTGACCAAGTCTGTCGGTCAGTTTCAAAGTGAAGTATGTGGAATTTGCCATAGTTTTATCAGAGCTTCATTATCATACATACTATTAATAGCACCAAAAATGTATGAATAGAAGAATGCAGTTAACCTCAATGTATCTGTACTGTTCTAGTGAGCAATCTGAGAGTGCGCAGTCGACCTCACTCAGGTTAAATTGTAAGGTCTCTACACTGAAAAAGGTTTGACAGGTTTCCGGTTTGTTCTCGTGTTTTTCTATGGAAAACAGACAGTCTTGTATCGTGTGTAGACTTCCCATGGTTGTAACGGCGGCCACAACGGTTAATGCGCTCGCACTTGGGATCCGGATATGAATTCGCAACCCTACTCACGGAGCAATTAGTGCAGAATGTTGTCATTTGCGTGAAACATTTTGTCTAATTTTGTGTTTGAGCGGCATACCGCCCAGAGATTCTTATGCTCTCACCCACAACTCCAACTCCTGAGAACGCTGGTTATCGGTTTGAGGTACATTGGATCAAACACGTACCAGCGTCACAGCAAGATACGCATTCACCCGCCTGTGAGGTGTGTGCAGTTTTTCCTAACAATGGGACGCAAAGATGCAAGGTGGAACAAGCAGAATCTATGTAGTGTAAGTGAATCTACCCAGCTAAAAGCTCGGAACTCAACACACTGGGTACAGTAAGTACACAATCCAACTTCACGGGTTTACCTTTCATTGAAAGAACGCAATCTTCGTCGGTTTCGTACACTGCAGATTCAGATAGTGAATCCAAACGATCCGGATAAACGGAATACATTTTGCGATTTTGTACTGTAGTCAGAATGCAGGTGGACATTTACAACATCTCCTTCCATGATATCTATGTCCGTCTAACCCTGCTTCTGTAAACATATGTATCAAGAATCTATTGCACACGAACTTAATTCTATGGGGATTGCCTGCTTCTTCAGCAGTCTGCGCCAGTCGGAACGCCCTGATAATTGGGGAGTATCCGATGCGCAGATTAGAGCCTACGTATTGGAGCCGTTGGCGCAAATTTTCGACAATTCACACCGGAGCCATAAGTAAGAGTTTATTGGGGGGACGGATACGTTGTTTATAGACAAATTAGTTATCGGTCATGGTGCTATTGCACATCGAGCTTCTTGCTTGCAGCAGAGGCTTCCGTTTGGGTACCGTGCGGCTTATTGATCCGTGTCAATGCGCCTAGTCTATGCAACCTTGGTGATCCACATTTTGCTCCGCCATTCCTACCTTTGTGGGCTGCTATGCAGATGACCGAGAGACTTGGTAAGGCCGGTACTTTCACATGGCGCTTGCTAATTTTACTGTAAAATGGATGGACTTATCGTTTTTAACACAGTAGTTCTTCTCTCCACACACATGATTTGGGTTGACCAGAAGCAGGTATGCCATTATCAGGTCGCCGCGTACTCGTCGATACCGTCAGCCAAACACTGCCAAACGTTCCAATCTTTGCTCGTATGACAGACTACCCATTCCGATGAAATATTCAGATGCTCGACGTTGAGGCCGCTCAAGTGCGGTAAGGTCGCGTATTAATCATGGATGCCAAGGGTGAATTGCGTATTCGACATGGGGGCGAACATACGCACTGAGCATGTCGGAAAATGTAGATGTCGAATTGTCCGAATGCCTTTGCTACAAGCAAGAAGCTCGGTGTGCAATAGCACCATGACCGATAACTAATTTGTCTATAAACAACGTATCCGTCCCCCCAATAAACTCTTACTTATGGCTCCGGTGTGAATTGTCGAAAATTTGCGCCAACGGCTCCAATACGTAGACTCTAATCTACGCATCGGATACTCCCCAATTATCAGGGCGTTCCGACTGGCGCAGACTGCTGAAGAAGCAGGCAATCCCCATAGAATTAAGTTCGTGTGCAATAGATTCTTGATACATATATTTACAGAAGCAGGGTTAGACGGACATAGATATCATGGAAGGAGATGTTGTAAATGTCCACCTGCATTCTGACTACAGTACAGAAATCGCAAAATGTATTCCGTTTATCCGGATCGTTTGGATTCACTATCTGAATCTGCAGTGTACGAAACCGACGAAGATTGCGTTCTTTCAATGAAAAGTAAACCCGTGAAGTTGGATTGTGTACCTCTTGGCCTCAGTGTGTTGAGTTCCGAGCTTTTAGCTGGGTAGATTCACTTATGCTGCATAAATTCTGCTTGTTCCACCGTGCACCTTTGCGTCCCATTGTTAGGAAAAACTGCACACACCTCACAGGCGGGTGAATGCGTATCTTGCTGTGACGCTGGTACGTGTTTGATCCAATGTACCTCAAACCGATAACCAGCGTTCTCAGGAGTTGGAGTTGTGGGTGAGAGCATAAGAATCTCTGGGCGGTATGCCGCTCAAACACAAAATTAGACAAAATGTTTCACGCAAATGACAACATTCTGCACTAATTGCTCCGTGAGTAGGGTTGCGAATTCATATTCGGATCCCAACTGCGAGCGCATTAACCGTTGTGACCGCCGTTACAACCATGGGAAGTCTACACACGATACAAGACTGTCTGTTTTCCATAGAAAAACACGAGAACAAACCGCTAACCTGTCAAACCTTTTTCAGTGTAGAGACCTTACAATTTAACCTGAGTGAGGTCGACTGCGCACTCTCAGATTGCTCACTAGAACAGTACAGATACATTGAGGTTAACTGCATTCTTCTATTCATACATTTTTGGTGCTATTAATAGTATGTATGATAATGAAGCTCTGATAAAACTATGGCAAATTCCACATACTTCACTTTGAAACTGACCGACAGACTTGGTCAAGCAGGTAAGTGCCGTCTTCGTAGATGGGGGACTCTTGCTCGTCCAAACCAATGGTTAGAGACTCTATCGGACGTGGCGCATTGTCGGAGTCAGGGCTTCCTCTGGATTCGTTCTCTTGCGTGTAGCCGTTCATACTTCAATGCACCTCGTCCTTGCTTCCATTCTGCTAATACCATAACCGCATTTACTTATCATTCGTCATTTTGCCACTCGAGCGACGCAATTCGTGGCAACTGCATCCACTGCACTTTGGTGCCCGGCTCATGATTTATCAACTGCACTCAACTGAACCGGAACATCCGAGTAATCTTTAAGTATCGTAGGTTATTTAGGAAAGAGGAATTCCAGGTAGAACTTGGCTCACTTAACAGGAAAGCAAAATACTACCAAGTTCTTATTATTCGTAATGTGGAAAGTCTAGTTGAAAGTGATGCTTTTTGCCTACAATGCTTCTTTGGAAGCTAGTTTTCAGTCTACCGGCGTGCCCACGGTAACTGTGTTTTAACATTACCTTAGATACAAATACGGGCGCATCGAAACCTTATTTCTCACGTGTACGTCAGTTTGTCTACTTTAATGGGGACATAGCTGAGATGAAATAGCAGCAGTTGTGCATCACGTGTACGTTCGTCCGCCAACGCGTTGTCCATTTTTTATACCACAGTAGACCCTGTACGTAACGGTAACTTCAGTGCTACGGCTCAACATCCGTCAGTACAGAACCAAAAGGTATCCAGTTTTCCGCGAAACATTCTGTCCTCAAACACTGGTCAGAATGTATCAATCAGTCGAGTATCCCTAGTCTGCTCCTCATCGCGTGAAGCGCTGTGCAAATTGGGGTACGCAGACGCCGCACTTGTGTGCGTAGTGCATTGTGTGAGATCCGATTGGATCTCCGGACTGCTGTTAGAATTCCTCGGGATTTTCTTAGAGTGCGCAATGTGCGGCAATTTGCGGTGCGTCCATGACAATCGGCAAACACATCCCGGCCACATGTAGATGTGGCGGCATCGGGGAGATATGTTTAGTTCCGCTTCACTGCCGCGCGTTCAGACCAGCGTTATATCGCAGACAACAGCACCACGCAAACGTCAAACGTAGTCTAGACAACCGTGGTGTGATTTTGAGTTGGTTTATCGATATAAGATTCCAAGCCGCGGTTCTGGTGCTTTGCGGATTGGTAGCTTACCTAGGCGTCTTGGAATCTAATTGCGATGAAGCAGGTCGAATCATGCCCAAATCCGTCTACCCATTAGTAATCAAAATCCTAGGCCTACCAGTCTTCAAAATGCTGTGTGGATTCACGGCGCTGGCAAAGGAAGACCTGACCCTGACGATGGGTCGGGCTATATCGCAGTTAGATTCAACTGGTGATGGTCGGCTGTCGTCCCCTTCGGTCAGTGGCATAAGCTGCTGGCTAGTTGACGTTAGCCTGTAGCGGCCATGTGTTCGATCCACATTAGGGAACGAAGGATGCGTATCACTGACGAGCCCCAATAGGGCGAAACGCGCGTCTGGTGCTTTTCCGGATTGGTAGCTTATCTATGCGGCTTGGAATCTAATTGTGATGAACCAAATGGAATCACACCCAAGTTCGCCTACTCATTAGTAACCGAGGTGTGAATCAAAGTTTCCTAAAGTTCCCCATCGCCAGATCACGGAAGGAAGCTGGCGCTATTGCAAAGTATCATGCCAAAATATAGGGTGACTTCGGAACAAAGAAATAGTAGGGATCCCTGTAAGATTTTCGGGTAGGCGAACAAACTAGATAGGGGATGGAACAAGGTGACAAAATTCCAAGTACGTTATTTGTTAGCATGCACCAGAATTCAAAGACCGAGCGCAAGCACACACAGACTATACGAAATTCAGGTCTTTTAGCTTTGACAACTAGAGACCACTCGATGGCCTTAGCAAGCATAGAGCTGCAGCTGCCCTACTCGCGTCAGCTAGCGCCGTCCTACTATTACTGGAAGACGGAGTTCGATGGCCTCAATCGAGCCGCCAGTGAAGTGGACTGGTCGATACCGCAGGATTCATCTGTTGAAGCCTTTTCGTCTGTGATAAAAAGGGTGTGCAATTGTTGGTTGCACGTTTCGTATCCCACAGATATAGAAAAGCTGGACCAGTGAAACCACATCGTTTAGACAAAGAGTAGGGCCAATTGGCTCGACGGTGACGCATATCGTGGAATAAACTCCTCGTGTCTGACTCTGCCGACAATTATGAGGCGTACAAGACAGCGGAATCTATGTAACAGTGCAAAGCGCGGTAGTGTCGGCAGTTCGAAGAGGAGATAGCAACCTCAGCGAAAACGGCCCTCAAGAAGATTTTTGCTTAAGTGAAGCAGCGCCTGGGGCTCGAAAGTGACATAGTTGTGTTAGAGGGCACTGACGGACAGACTCTGACCTACAGCATTGAACGTGCGTTAGCACTGGCGGAACACATCGTCTCCGTATTTATAAGTGGACATGCGCCTATGCCGAGCTCTACGTGTACAGTCCTTAGTGAACTCGATGGCCTAAATTGCGATGTAGATGTCCGCAGTCTACTCGATAGTCTTGAGAACACAAAACCTGCCGGACCCGATAGACTTCACTCGCTTATTTTAATGTCCTTATCGGCTATCAGCTGGCCTGCCGTAACGGATCTGTTCAACAGATCGCTGTCCGAGGGTGCAATGCCGAGCGACTGGAAATGCTTGGTATTGAAACCGATTCCAAAAGGCGGTGACCCATACAAGATGGATAATTACCGGCCGATTTATCTCACCTCTGTCTTGGCGAAGGCGCTCGAGTAGGTTGTGAAAATGGGTCTTCTCCAGCTGCTAGAGTCAAAAGATCACTTAACGCCGGCACAGCATAGCTTCATGAAGGGCGCCCGTGAATCAACAACCTGCTGTTGATGCGGCAGGAATAGTTGCAAGCGCTGGAACGGGGGAAGTCAATGGATGTTCCGTACATTGATTTCAGTAAAGCGTTTGATAGAGTGAACAATGAGGTCCTGCTCCACAAGCTGTGGATGGCAAACTGCACCAGTGATCAGTGACTTCCTTATTGGGAGAAGACGGTGGGTACAGATGCACGACAGCCTAACGGAATGATACCCCTCCAATAGTGGTGTAATCCAAGGCAGTGCTGGGGTCCATTTTATTCCTGAACCACATCAACAAAGTGACGCAGCTTCTTCGGTCGCCTTGTGCACTGTTTGCAGACGACTTGAGGATTTGGAGGATTCCTGATTCTTCAGACGACTGTGACGTTCTTCAGCAGGACCTCGATTGCCTATCCCGGTGGTCTGCAGAAGTTGACCAAACGGTCAACCTTGCCAAGTCCTCGTTTATGAGCCTCGGGAGGGGTGGTAATGGGCATGCGTACACCCTGGTCGGCCACCCGATGTATCCCACCAGTTCCGTAAAGAGCTAGGCATACTCTCACGCTGTGATCTGAAGTCGCTCGATAATACAAACAAGTTGGGGGCATTTAGAGAGGCATTTAGACGCAGCTTCTGCACTTGGTCTGAAGAGATTGCGACCCGTCTTTTCTCTCCCATGATAAGACATGTGCGTGCGTACGGTTCACTCGCCTATTGTCCGATCACAACAGGTGAGCTGCAGACACTGGAACGAGTCCAGCATGTAGCTACCCGGCTCATCCGGTTTACGGGTATGTTGTATGAGGACCGACGTAGGGAACTAAGGATGTATACCCTGTCATATCGTCGGAATCAAGTTGACGTACTGGATACTGCATCTGGGCCACTTCTTAAGGTTGAGGCCGCTGCTGCACGTTCGCGTACCAAGTAGCACAAGCAGACACCAGTGCAAACTAGTGGCATCAGTTTTAAAACGCATCGCTTACTCTCAATGCTTCGAGCGTCGAGTGGTGAAATAGTGGAACAAATTGCAGGAGACGCTAGTCAAAGCGAAATCAGTGTCGGAATTTAAGAGATTCCTTGGTGCCCACTTTGATAGTCGTTCATCTTCTAGTCCCAACGCATACAGAAACACAAAGTGTTTTTTTCCGCCCTATCAACAAGCCCATGCACTACCATGCAAACAACCTCAACACATTCGATTTTATTTGGAGCCCCCGATTGTCGCTAAAACTGGCATGCCTTAAGGTGAGCAATTGGTAACAGATTGGTCGGTTGACAGCACTTACCCAAACGACAGAGACCCTATCGATGGATATCTGCCGTTTATCGGCAATCCGCCTGCACGATTTGAGCCCTACGATCACTATAGGTTCCCCTTCATGTGACACTGGAGACACGTTCTCAGATGGTCTATCCGGAGATGATGCAGCTTGGAATGTTGGTCAAGCCAGTGTGGGTATTGTTCAGAGTTCTTGGACTTAAACTGCACTGGTAGACCTGATTCCAGCCAGAAGATAAATGCGCACCATCGGACTAACTCGGTTGTTCAAGGCCCCGAAGTCGCGTAAGGTCAATAGGTGCCTGTGTTGCTGCTGCCTACATCATCACAAACTGGCAGTAGAAAAACTTGTTGAAGGAGACAATCGAAAAACACTATCAAATGTGCTACTAGGAATAAACGTCTCTTCACGGCCACAGTACGTAAAAGAGAATGATGAAGTAATGAAAAAAATTTCCCGATTGAGCCATGAGCTCGGTTCAGCAGCTATGTATTGTATGAAAAACGAAGGTGGGTGTCGAATAGAAGAAATAACACAACCCACTTGCAAGGCGATTCCATGGACATTGGGGTCATTGTTCAATAGTTGGATGGTTTTAAGAATCTATAAATGGTGTGATTATGAGGTGAGTGGGACGACGAACGGCATTCGTTGAAGAAGAAGAAGGAAGCCGGATATGTGAGAGTTCGACACCACATTGGAGGGCAAACCAGCGCTTACGCTTCACGTATATAGTTGAATCTCGTCGCTTCCCTACCTGCACAACGCAATAACGGAGAAAATGGGTTACCTGTGACAAACTTAATAGGAGCATTTAACTGATGAAGTGGATAGTGAAAACGTACGAGAAGGTAAGTGAAAGACGGATGAAAATGATTGTAGACCGGAAGCATTAGCTGACGACCGAAAGTTGGCTTAGAGCAAGCGAACGATATCGTTCGTGGTTTGACAGCCGTGTGGATGTAACCCAAAGGCAAGATAAACAATGAAAATTGGTGCGGCTCGTTGTCCTGCGCTCAGCACTTTTACATTGCTACACACCACGTATGACAGTGTTGTCTTCCATGGGTCGGAGGTGAAGCAGCCAAATGCCAAAGTTAGACCTATCTTCGACAAATCACGTCCTCGGTTTCAGGAAAGAACATTATCTTGACAGTAAGGCAGATTTAGACGATACAATAAGAGTTGCCAACCCTCAGCACCTCAATATACGGGGTAATGTTTATGTTACACGGTATCAACCCATACCGAGCGTCATGGGGTTGAGAGTTAAACTCCGTTGTTTGTGCACGAGTTACGCACCAAAACGCGGCGGATACAGTAAGTTCAGTGTGTGAGCATTTAAAATGCTCAAAAGAAAAGTAGGCAAAATGAGGGATAGAAGGAGCAGGCAATAAGAAAAAACAAGACAGCGAACGCAAGCGTGTCGAACGCTTTGTGGTTGTTCCGCATTCGATGAATTAACAACTACTGATGTGACTGGTCACGGAGCCATCGTTAATAAAGGCTGTGTGTGACAATCAGACTCTGTCGTTGAACCACCGCCTAGTAGTATCATCCGACTAGACACAATAGTGGAAGACAGTACCTATGCAGGTGGGTTTAAAAGGTGTGCAAAAGATACGAGCAGAGTTCGAGTTGAAAGGTAATATAGTAATGATTGACTGAATGACGGAGAATGCTAATCTTCAAAGACCTAAAAGCTCCTATTTAATAGAATAACTCAAAGCGAGGTGGGTAGTAAGCAGAGAAGTCTTTAGTAATGCACCAAATAATCTGGCACTATGAAACAAATGTCGGTGAGACTTACACGATTCTCAAACAAGCATAAGTAATACTACATAAGCACCTATGAGCAAAAATAAATCGTTTGGTTTCTAAACGTTCGAAATGCGAAGCAGATTCGTGTAGTTACGCCGCCCGAACTGCGACCCCGTGGTTTATGCCATAACCAATGCGTTTATTACCATAAGTCCTATTGCAATAACAGCCTTGTGAAACGCATGATGTAGGCTTCAGGGTGATTTGACCAACGAAGTAATACAAACAACTGGATTAGCGAACTGATCGGACACTTCGAACGCGCTTCCGTGATGGCCAGAACTGGTGGCATGTCGTCCGGGTCCTGCAGTAACACCTTGACCTATGCAAAGTGCGAGCAATGTGCAGAGGCGTGTAGCGCTACGTAACAACCTTTACGGACGTAATAGAACAGAAGCTGAGTCTGATCTAAGGAGAGGTACCTCATCTGGGTACCACAAGTGCTGGTGAATCGCTAATCATAACTTCTGCTTCAGAACAAGATAGAATCATCCATGGTCGTTTCGAACATAAAGAGAGAGATGGAACCCACCGGTCATTGGATACTCAGGAAGAAGGCTAAAGCATCGAAATAGAAGCAGAGGGATTACAGAACAAAATAGGATCTCGGTACATATACAAAAACTACTAATGCTACCAGCGTGGTCTTCAGATCCACGACAAGCGTCGCAATAGGTTTCCTGTGTGCAGGTCACCATTTCAAGATGGGATATTGCAACGATGTGGCTAGTTAGACTTTCTCTGATTTCACTCACATTAGACCAAATCAGTTAATGTATAACGATTTATAAGACAAATTTTAATATGCAGGCCAAATAACTAACGCTCCGATGACGATCATAAGGTGGTACGTCATCTTAATCACAGACTGATAGTCAACGATAGTCTGTGGGTCTCCGTTCTGGCTGGTAGCTTACCGGAACCATGCCCATCCGTTACCGGTAGCTCAGCCGGCTTGCACCAGTTGCACTTCTTCTCTCTTTTCTATGTAATGCGACACAGTAGCTGAAGTGTTTCCCACCTCTAGCTAACGTGTATGATGATGATGATGATGTTCGATGCAACAGATAGACCAGAGACAACTGATGTTTCCTATCTCTCAACAACGATAAAAAGTCATCAGGTTCATGCGCATAACTCAGGTTCAACAAAACGAATTATCACCACGTACTGATAATCAGTATTAGCCCTAGCAGCTCACATGCCCCCACGGTTGGTGGGGGCCATCCCTATCCTCTGCCCGTGCATAACATGGATGACAGGGGAGGATGAGCCGTGCTCTGTCACAGTTGGGTATCAGTCGTGTTGGTCAACTACCGTCGTGTATGGTTCAATGTCACAAGTCACTGGCTCGTAAAAATAAGGTCATGGGTTCGAATCCGACAGGATCCGGCAAGTGCGCTCTACTGACGAATTCCAATAAAATGAAATGGTCATCTAACGCTTTCCTGGACGCGTGGTGGCTATCTAGCTGCAAGGAAACTTCTCAAAAACACAAAAAATCCTCTTACTACGGTTAAAAGGGGTTCACTTCAACTATATTCCAAAAGTGTGGGATCGAATTTTCTGCAGAGATTCACTACGTGATAGTATCATAGACAGTCTGTTTTTCGTCCAGCAATCCGGTAGACGTGCCGAAGAATAAACCACCTGTTCACCGTTCGCATCTAGTGAATTACCATCGGATGACTCCCCTCGACGCGAGGGCAGAAGGACCTGGAAGAATACTTGGTTATTCCCCATCACACAGCTTTCTCGGACCCATGAATTCTTGCAACAAATCAAAGTTAAAGATGGATTTGGAGAATCCTAGTCAGAATCAGTTCCACAGTGATGCAGATACTCTGAAGCAGAATATCTAAAGGACTTAACTAGAGCATTACGATCAATATAGACGTTATGTAGGAAACTCATCTACAGTTTGGACACCTCAAGTTGGGTGGATAAGCGGTTTCGAAGGCTTTCTTCATGACTCAGTTGGCAACCATTTCGGATGAAATTTGGTTTATTACTCCAGTCAAGAAGTGACAACTGGCGTGTTGATTGCTTTAGATATCGTCGAACTTCAGACTGTGAGTTCACATTACGAGTGATAAGACTCGAGGCCGGACACTCCGCTTGGGCTGAGAAAAGAAGCACTATGTGATGTTGATGTCTGGGTGTGTGCTTCAAACCGACCGGGGCGCCGTATGCAGCAGATAGGTCCGGGAAGCCTTTTTGTTCAGTTTGTATCAAGTAAAGCTATGTGAACGTTTGCATCGGGAAACGGTGCTACCAATATAACGGATGTGGTGGGCACATCTAATGAATGTTATGGCCGTTGCGTAGCTAGCAGACATCAAATCCAAAATGGTCACACAAATGCTGTTCGGAGTCCAATAAAGGGCCCACTAAAGCACTGTAAACAAGAACTATTCACCAAAAATAAGTGAGAAATAACTGAATTCGTCTTTGAAGGGTTCCGAAGTCTGTTGAGGTATACACTAAAACAAGCAAAAGACACCTCATCCTCCGATGGTCTATATCAACTAATAAAAAAGACCCAAAATCGGACAGCATATATGCGTGTACTCAATAAAACGTTAGCATATGGATGCCCCCAACAGCATCGCGGAGAACGATGCTGACAACCTAAGTATCTCATCGAATGAATATCGCGGTAAGCGGATCAAAAAGTAGAAGGATCATTGCGACGGTATAAAATAGTATGCGCGTTTCAGGCTGACATGTAGCACGGGCGTCAACGGAACCAAGATAAAATAGTGACTTAAGTCGGAAGGACAAATTAGAAGCATCGTAACAATGCGAAAGCAAGAAGTGGTTTCGTTCTAGAGAAAGTGCAGATGAATATGTGAAGAGAAAAGCGGAGAGAAAAAAGATCGGACGGAGAAATTACGTCGACTGATAACATACCCTGGGTGATTATTTCAGAGGGATTTTTTCCGGAGTGTACACATCTAATCTATGACTCAACAGGGAAACTTACGAGACACCCGTCGCAATGGCAGTTGAAGTACTGATGAAATTCTACGATTTCAAATTTATTTCCGCTTAACATGCTCCGTATCTGGTCACGCCATCCTGTTTCTTCGGTAGCGTCTAATGTTCGTACTCCAAAACTGCAAACTCAAAGAACAGCACTTGCATGCATATCGGACACTTTGAAAGTAGGCATTTGCTGCGCTTCTGAAACTAGAATCCAGGGCTATCAAGTGAATGTTGTGCTAACTGTGCCAAGCTCGTTTTCTCGTTAGTGATTGCAAGTATCCGGCTGTTGATGCAGCCACGACCAGGTAAGCTAGAGTGAGTGTCGTTTCTGACGTTATGGGGCATGGTCAAAATATATTTCCTGCTAGCGCACTATTTAGATGGAACTATAGTGAAACCGTAAGGTGACCACTCAAGGGACTGGACCAAAGTGGTCAACATACGGAGGTCCTATGCCAAAACTAGCATAACCTACTTTCATATTGTGAGTAGTATAGTATGAATTCATTTCACATAAACCCCGTTTCGAACATAGACGAAGTCCCACGTAACGACAAACGCAGTTCCTCCATATAGTGTTATAATAAATCAAAACGCATTTCGTTGAATCAATTTTTGAAGAAAAATGCACAAAGGTAACTGAAAAAGCGCTCTCAGCACAAGCCACACTGCTCAGCATCCCCTGACCTTTTTCCACAGCAAATGATTTCAGTTACATTAAAAGATGTCTGACTACCTATGGAAACCACCGAAGCTCAGTATTTTTTCTTCATCAGCATCATCAGGTGTTTGTTCTTTGTTTCCGGAGGGTAGTACCGCAGCCTGTAACTCTTGGAATATAGCAACTGTTTTTGGTTCAGTGCAAGTTACCAAATAACCGTCCATTTCAACAAACTCGTTAAAATCTATTCTGTCGAATTCTGCCAATGGATGCAATATCTAGTAAGG